GGGAGGAGACGCCTGGTGTACGTGTGCTGCGGTCAGCACTGGGTCTGCCACCGTGGCACCCAGAGGGTGAAATCAGAGCAGCTGCCCCCTCCCATGCCGCTCTCCCCTGATGCCCACCTCCCCCCACTCTGCTCCTCCCCACGGCTGACCCATGCCCCTGTCTGCTCTCCGCCCTGCCCAGCTGGCCAGCCGTGGTTGCTCAGAACAGCTGTGGCTGGGGGGGGGGGCATTACTTTCCCCCATGGGTTCCCAGCAAAGGGCCGGGAAAAGGCAGATCCCTCAGATGTGAATGGGCACCAGGGAGCAGGAGCCCAGGCTGGGCGGCTTTGGGGTTCCCTGCCAGGCTGAGGACCCTGCTATCATGGCGGGGATGCCCATTGGGGTCCGCTGCCCTAGCTCAGTGCTTACTTCCCATCCATGTGCACCAGAGAGGGAGGCCAGGGTGGCTGAGCGGCTATGGTGATGGACAGGACTGCTGCAGGACTTCTCCTGCGAGGGAGAGCCCTGGTGTTCACCAGCTGGCCCTGGCACCCGCTCAACATCCTGAGCCCGGCCCTGGGGACCCAGGCCTGGCTCCAGAGCTTAGGTCTGGAGATCTCCGGGCCAGGGCTCCGCAGGGGGTCGGAGTCGTCCCCTGGAGGGAGGCCAGGGCCGGGTCTGCACAGGCTCTTTTACAGGGCACGAAGCGAGTTAGCAGAGAACTTCCTCCACCCGTCTACACGTGGCAGTGAAACGGGATTCCGAATTAAAGCCCTAAATCGAATTAGCTGGTAAACCTCATTGCGGGCAGTTACTTCAGGCTAGTCAATTTCTAAAATGGCGACTGCCCAGGAACATGCAAATCAAGCGCAGGATATTTAAATCCCGCACTTCATTTGCAACTTCGGTCACCTTCATTAGCATCCCTAGATTGATCTAGGGGACTAGTGTAGACGTACCCTTACATAAGAATATAAGACCGGCCGTACTGGGTCAGACCAAAGGTCCATCTAGCCCAGTAGCCTGTCTGACGACAGCGGCCAGCACCAGGTGCCCCAGAGGGGGTGGACTGAAGACAACGATCAAGTGATTTGTCTTGTGCCATCCATCTCCAGCCTCTGACAAACGGAAGCCAGGGACACCATTTCTATCCCCTGGCTAATAGCCTTTTATGGACCTAAAATCCATGAATTTATCTAGCTTCTCTTTAAACTCTGTTATAGTTCTAGCCTTCACAGCCTCCTCTGGCGAGGAGTTCCACAGGTTGACGGTGCGCTGTGTGAAGAAGAACTTTCGCTTATTAGTTTTAAACCTGCTACCCATTAAACATGCTCTTGGTAGCGATGTTGTGTGAGGTCAAACGTTGCCACTTTTGAGCGCAGGTTTTTCTGGTGTTCTCTTTGCAACTGTTCATGACTAAAGGACAGATCTCTTCTGAATTGGTGAGGTGAGGCGTTGTCAGCCCTGGAGGAGCCAAGCTTTGAGGCGCGACCTTTAACGTCTGGGTGAAAAATCCGACTCTTGTCCTGTGTCACGAGATTTGCAAACTGTGAGAGACAAATTGGGGGAGCACTGGACATTTGAGATAAGGAAACCAGGTCTGCCTGGGCCATGCTGGCACTAGCAATGTGACTTGGGCCCCGTCCTGTTTTATTTTCTGTAGGATCTTGTTGAGTAGTGGAAGAGGTGGGAAAAACACAGGCCAGTTCGTCTTCCCAGTTGAATAACAAATCATCATCCAGCAAGTTCTTACCTAGACCTGCTCTGGAGCAGTACTTGGGGCATTTAAACACGTCTATATCCAGAAAACCCCACTTCTGGAACACAGAATGCAAGACTTGCGGGTGGATCTCCCACTCAGATGTCTGAAGAAAGTTTCGGCTCAGCACTTCTGCTGTGATAGTTTGTTTGTCTGGAAGATAGACAGCTGAAATCGACACGATGGTGGGTGCATCAGTGCCACGGGGTTTCTTTGCAGAGCCGGCATGACCCGGCTCCCCTTGGTGATTTATATAAAACATGCACGTTGTGTTGTCTGTGAATCGTCTCCCTGACGTGTCACGAATCAAGGGGAGAAAATATTTGCAGGCTCATCTGACTGCTCGGAGCTCTAGAATACTGCTGTGAAGTGCTGACTCAGCTGGAGACAACCTCCCAAGCCTTCCAACGAAGCATCGGTGGTTACGATGACAGAGGGAAGAGGTTGTTGGAAGGGTACTCCCTTGCAAAGGTTGTCGCGCTGCAACCACCATTGGAGAGATCCTTTCCGCCTGTTTGGAGGACTCAGGATTTTGTGCAGGTGGGGCTTGTGTGGTCAAAACCAGGCGCAGAGCCATGCCTGAAGGCCGTGTAATCAGGCGTACAGGACCACATACACTGACGCTGACATGAGGCCGAGCAACTGCAGGCATTGTCTGGCCAAGATCGTGACAGGTCTGGATAGACGTCAGATGCCACACGCTCCCTCCTCCCCCTCCAGCCGGATCATTCTGCCTTGTAGAGAGGGTGCTGTAGGTAGCCAGGAGGGTCTGGTATGTGGCCAGGTTGTAGGTGTATGGAGAGCATAGGGGATGTTTGGAGGACCGTCAACCTGCCCAAAGGGGAAAGAGACAGGCGATAGGAGCCAGCTAGAGACCCTCAGCATCTTCTCCCAGCACAAACTGGTCCCACTGCCCGCTCTGTGGATTGCTGGAAGGATGGATGCCCAGCAGGGGGGCGCTGTGTTGCAAGAAGCAGGACGTGGGGGAGGGGACATTGATGCGCGAGGGTTTCTCACTTTGTTCATGGAGCAGAAACATGGACGTATCTTGCTCTGTTCATGCTACCACCCAAATTAATCAAGAACCCACGGGAGAGACCGCTTGGGAAAATCTCACCTTTAAAGTAAAAAGCGGGGCACCACCCTTAACCACTGCCAGGTTAATACAAAGAAAAGAAAGAACTTTTATTATTACAACAATATTCCTGTTGCAAGCATTATGACTAGATGGGAAGGTAACAAAATCTACTCATGGAGAAACTCCCTGGCATGATTTTCCGCAAATACTTTTAACAGAAAAGTTTTTCCATTAAAAGCATTT